CTTTTCGACGGGGAACTGCATGTGATTGAGACTGGGCATTGTCACGTTTTCGATGACGATAGAGCTGTCGAACTTGTCCAACTTCAGCCCAGCCACGACCCAGTAGTCTCATTGCTGCTTCTCTGCGATTGCATACCTATCGCTGCTAATTCCAATACATGGAGGTTATTCCCTTGTCGGCAGACCAGAGACACATCAAATATTCAGCAGCTAAGCGCCTTGGAGAGAATATTCTGAAATGGAGTTATAATATTAGTAAGATGAAACTCTACCTGTGCTAAAAGTCATTGATCATATGATATTATATGATTGACTGGTATATGCCAGGCTGAACAGCAATTTTTAACCTAACAGTAATCATAGAGATATGGGGAAAACCTTTTAGATCTCTAGTTAACCCTGATACAATTACGAAACAACATTCTTTGTAAGGTGTCATATTTGGACAAGGAATAAATGCTGATGTTACTCTTTTGATCACTGAAGAAGAAAATGATTTCTGAAGTCACTGAAGAGCAACATAACTAAATAAATTTATGGAATAGAATCAAAAGATTATGACGGAGAGTATTAAACAAGCAGGCTATTGTGATTAGTGACTCTTTTTAGTTTGACGGAAAAAGAAATCCAAAATTTCTGAAATCGTATGAATCTATTTTCAGGATCTGCTAGCAGACACGTTCGATCATCATCCACAAAAATTCGCTTTCAAAGGAATTCTATTTGCCTTCAATCAACTCATCGAGCAGGCGACGAAATGCCAATTGCTTCTGCGCATCGGTGTAGGCGATTTCGAGAGAACGTCGATACTGTCGAATACAAGTGGTGTGGATTGGAATGCCGGAATAGGACATCGACACCCGTTGCATCAACTTGCTGAACGGATCCAACTTCTGTTCTTCAGAAACGCTAAGCCATTCGCCACCATCCCCTGCATTCCCACAACAAGAAGTCAGCATCTTGCATAAACTCTTCACTGTCTGTTTGGAAATTATGTTCCGAAGAACGAATTGCAAGAGTAAGGTCAGCATCAGTAGTCAGGCAATTAAGGTTCGCTGATGACGTAGTGTCGCTTGCGGAGAACGGTAGTCAGTACGAGACATGCTGTACGAATTCGAGAGAAAAAGTGCAGAAGTTTAACTGCGAATCAACTGATCTCAGCTGCCCTACCGAAGAACGAAGTAATACTAAATG